ATAGATATCAATTTCATTAATAAACTTACTTTTTAAATTAAATATTCTCAAATTAGAGCTTATTAGTTTTTTTTGTTTATTTATTTAAATTTAAAAGTTAAAAAACATTTCAATCATAATAATTTATTATTTTTTTTTATTTTTTTATAAACTCAAAGTTCTTAAATATTTTGACATTTATACTTAATCATTTTTTAATTAACTTATGTATTACATGGTCTCACAACTAGTTTATTTTAACAAAAATGACATCAAATATACATATATTAATTACAAATATACCATTGACAACCTCGTTTGTGTTCCAAAAATGATTAGCGGATAAGTTGTATATAATTTTAGGGCTTTTGTCATAAAAGCCCCCAAATTTACATAAAAAAACCGGTTATGCCCAAAATCGTTTTTTTTTTACCACAAATGCCTAACATTTGCCCCTCATGTTTCATTTCAATGTTTTTTACCGGTTCCCCTTAAACAACCGGTTACTTCCCCATTTGCAACCGGTAACATTTGCCCGTCTCCTCCATTTGTCCTCCATTAACACTCTCCACCCTCCCATTTTGGTGAAGCATTCTCATTGTCTGAAGCTAGAGTTTTTCAAGAGGTAATAAATTACGGTCTGATCATGTTTTTTACGAGAAATCATCTCTATTAAGTCCTTACTTTTCATGATAATGGTTGCGATTGTGTAGGGGTTAGAAATGGGTTCTTCAGACAATGGTTACGACGACCCATTTGCTGGAATTTACGAGCCATTTTCTGGGTTAAATGAGATGGATTTTGAGCTGCACGGGATTTACATGGATGATAAACCACGACAGGAGTTTGTATCAAGGCTTGATAAATGTAAGGATCATTTTCTTAACATTCTACTTTGTGATGCGAACATTAGAAATGCAAGTATGACTGATGAGATGAAAGATTGAGTGGACCATGGTAATGATTTGCAAAATGATGAGGAGGCAAAGGAAGAAGTGACTAACAAATACAGAATACACGATCCAAATGTTAGGTGGGATAAGATGGAACCTAAGTTAGGGGACGTGTTCGAATCACCTGCACAACTGAAATTTTGTGTGACAAACTATGCAGTAAATAGAGGGTGCCAAATATACTTTCAGAAGAGTAACAATAGAAGAATTGTTGCAAGATGTGGTAAGAGACATGAAGATAATAAATGCCCTTTTAGACTTTATGCAGCATGGATGTACAATGACTGAACCTTTCAGGTTAAAGCAATGAATTCTGAGCATCTTTGTTCTAGAGTGTTTAAATTTGGGTCTATTGTTAACCCGGAATGGATTGGAAGACACTATGCAACTGAGATAGAAAATAAGCCCAAAGTTAAACTTAGGGAGATGATCAGTGACATCAAACAAAGATATAGATGTGTGGTATCTATAGGACATGTTAGAAGGGCAAAACAGTGGGCAAAAGAATTGATTGAGGGTAAATTAAATGAACACTATGAAAGAATTTGGGATTATGCCCAAGAGTTATTGAGATCAAACCCTGGGTCTACATGCAAAGTTGGTGTTACTAACAATCCAGATGATAAGAATTATTTTAAAAGGTTTTACATATGTTTCAAGGCTTTAAGTATTTGCTGGAAAATAGGGTGTAGGAAGGTAATAGGGTTGGATGGATGCTTCCTAAAGGGTCAGGTAAAAGGTGAATTACTCACAGCCATAGGTAGAGATGCTAATAACCAAGTGTTCCCAATAGCTTGGGCTGTTGTTGATGTGGAAAACAAGGATAATTGGACCTGGTTTCTGGAGCTTCTGAAGGATGATCTTGACCTTGGTACTGGTGTAGATTTGGTTGTTATTTCTGATCAACATAAAGTAAGTTCCCTTATAATTATAGTATACTTCAATTTGATTATTTCAATATGGTTATAAATACTAAGATAATATGTTTGTTCACAGGGTTTGCTTGAATCTGTTAAGGTTATTTTGCCACATGTGGAGCACAGGCAATGTGCTAGACACATTTATGCAAATTTTAATAAAGCTTTCTCTGGATTGGAGTTGAAGAAGCTGTTCTAGGCTTATGCAATGAGTTGTGTTGAAGGTAACTTCTTGAGAAACATGGAAAAAATAAAGACCATAAGCCCTAGTGCATATGAGTATCTAATGTCAAAAGAACCCAAAACATGGTGCAGAGCTTACATGAGTGTAGGGTTTGCTTGTGAGGTAGTGGAGAATGGTATTTCACAGTGTTTCAACTCCATAATTGAAGAAGCTAGGAAAAAACCTTTGATTACAATGCTTGAAGAGATAAGGATATACATAATGGACAGTTTTTCCTTTATGAATGATGAATGCAGTAAATGGAAAGGTAATATATGTCCAGAGGTGATTAAGAAGATGAATCTTTTTGGAAAGAACTTTAGGTAAGACACAAAATAATTGTTTCTTTGTCTAATTGTCATTATAGTTGATATATAATGACTAATACATACTCATTTGTCTTCATGCAGCCTTTGGTTAGTAGTGCCTAGCTTAGGAAATGTATTTGAAGTGAGAAGAGCATGTACTAGTTACAAGGTAGATTTGGATGGTAGGATTTGTTCTTGCAGATTATGGGATTTGTCTGGAATCCCTTGTGTCCATGCCATAGCAGCCATTAATTATATCCATCAAACTCCAGATGGATATATTAGTGACTACTTTTTAGTGACTAAATTCAAGGAATACTACTCAACAAACATCAGTCCTGTGAATGGGAGTAATATGTGGCCTCTAACTGGATACAACAAGCCTTTGCCACCTGTTGGTAGGAAAATGCCTGGTAGGCCCAAAACCAAAAGAAGGAGGCATGCAAGTGAGAAAGAGAGTAAGTTTAGTTCCACTTCAAGGGTGAAACCCCCAAGGACAGTGAGATGTGCTAATTGTCTTGAGTATGTGCATAATAAAAAAGGTTGCAAGAATGAAAAAAAGGTACCAGTTCCTATGCCACCAAAGAAGATTGGGAGGCCTAGGAAATGTGATGTAGCTGGATCCAATCCACATGTTTCTGTACCCACTCAATCTAGTCAACAAGCAAGTCAACAGGGCAGTCAACCACTTGTGACATCAACTATAACCACTCAACCTAGTCAACAAGCAAGTCAACAGGGCAGTCTGCATGCTTCAAGTTCTAACACTAGCAAGAAAATGAGGAAATTAGGTTTATAAGGCCCAAGTTTCAGAGTTGGTGAAATTTCAAGTGAAGTAACTGTCCCATATGTTAGAAGGAAGAAATTGGGTGTAAGAAGGCCAAATAGGAAGTCAACAACCAAATTTCAGGATGAAGTCAACAACCAGGTTCCAAATGAGGTTGCTCAAGCTGCTGCTCTTACCATTTCACAAAATTGTACCATTTCACAGCATTGTACCATTTCATTGTACTTTACCATTTGCATTTCACAAATATTTTGTATGATCCATACCATTGGCATATATATTATGTATCAATTGTACTTTACCAGTTAGCCAATTTTAGCATTGTACTTTACCATTTAGCAATTTAATGTATATTACGAACCATATGTTTGTTATGTTTACCATTTACATTTCACAGATAATTTCTATTTTACCATTTCACAGCATCATACCATTTCACAGCATTGTACCATTTCATTGTACTTTACCATTTGCATTTCACAAATATTTTGTATGATCCATACCATTGGCATATATATTAGGTATCATTTGTAACTACAGTTAGCCAATTTTAGCATTGTACTTTACCATTTAGCAATTTAATGTATATTATGAACCATATACCATTTAGCTATTTAATCTTCATCCAAAACAACAGTTACTAGCCAACTTCAACATTGTACTTCCATTTGCAACTAAAAACCAAAAGCCAAGTCAACCCAAACATTCTACCAAAAGCCAATCCAAAATGATTTACATCTTCAAAACAACATTTACATCTTCAAAACAATTATTGTCACCATTACAAAAATAAGAACCAAAAGACCTACAATTATTTCTACCAAAGTCTTCAACTGTCCATGCCCCTGCCCCTGCTTCTGCTTTGTGTGAGTTGGGTCGATAATGTGACCATCTTGTTCATTGTACCATTTGAAAAAACCACAATCCTCTTCTTCCACCTAGAAAAAAACAATAATTTGTATGAATTACATACAAATTAGGGAAAATTGTTTCAAGGTTTCTCAAGGTTTCTTCATTGTACCATTTCAAGGTTTCTCAAGAAATTTACAAATTAGGGCAAATTGTTTACCTTGTAATTAGGGCACCCGTAAAACTTCTTTCCATAGTTCTCAGGTGTTCGAGCAACAGATACCTTGCACACATCTCCACAGCCACATCTAACTATTCTTTTCTTTCTCAATGTTGGACCACCTTGGAAGCTTGATTTGGCAGACGAAGTCGACATTTTACAGATACTTTGGGTAGAAGACGAGGGAGAGAATAGAAGACAGGGGAGGGAAAGACTTTGGATCAATGTTAACGGAAGAGGTTTATGTTTGGGGGTTAAAAAGGTGGAAGTAACCGGTTGTTTAAGGGGAACCGGTCAAAATCATTGAAATGAAACATGTAGGACAAATATTAGACATTTGTGGTAAAAAAAACGACCGGTTTTTTTTATGTAAATTTGGGAGCTTTATGACAAAAACCCATAATTTTACTCATAAAATAGCGCCGTTTGAAATAAAAACCATGGAAGAACAAAATATGTTTTCTTGAAATGTAAAAGACTGTTACACACAATATCACATATAATAGATTATTCATTATAAAAAAAAATATACAAATATCAAAACAAAACCTATCCACTATAAAATACGACAAAAAAAAAAGAACTAAAAGACAACAAAATAACCCATAGACCCGACGCTATTTTTTTTTTCCCTTTTCATCATTTTTCTACAAATAAAGAAACATTAAACATGGCTCTAAACATATGCACCAATACTTATATTTGCTTGTATATTTAAAAGTCTTTTTGGTTACTTTTAAATTTTCAAAATACTCTCCGACCAATCACATGATGGAACATGCGGCCGGATTCTCATCACTGAAAGCAGTGGTGTACCGAACTTCAGTAGAGCTGGCTCGTGCCAACTGGTTGTGTGGATCTTCAACGTACCGCACATACCCAGCTGGCGCCTTTTTGTCATACACACCTTGCGCGTATGGATGTGCCACAATATCATATGGCACATATGGCCAAAGTTCAACCTTTTTACCAGTACGATGAGCCACACGAGATAAAACTTTGTGTGGCTCGACGTATCCAACAACTGTAAGCTTGTGGTGCTTTCGTTCAACAGTTACAGACGTTACGCCTTTCATTCCTTCTACTGATTTCCTCACTTTCCTTTCGCAACCGTCACAGTCGATCTTCACTTTGATCTCCACCGTCTATTACAGGACACAAAAATTCAAATTAGAAAGATTTTTTTTTTTTTTTTTGTATATTCTTCACGTAAAAAAAATAGCAATATATTTTACTAATTTATTTATTATAGCATCTTATCTTTCGTATATTTTGTATCATAACATTAAACATTAACAAATGATTGTCATCCAACGAAAAAACCAACTTTTAATAGAAAAATAAATAATCCTCCTTAATAAATGAAAGTTTTTTTTTGCCACTTGTCAATCTCTCATTAGTTTTGGCACTTGTCATTTTTTGGTAATTTTAAAATAAATATTATCCACTTGTCAATTTTTGGTTTTTTTAGTTTTTAATTAAAATATATACTTATATATGTAAATATTAAATATCATATATATGATATTAAATTGTAATAAATACGTTTCTTTCTTTTTCTTATTTTAAAGTTGTACATTAAAAAATATATTCTTTTTATATTTTAAGTTTAATAATTTTTTAAATCAACCCGTATAATATACAGGTCTCACACCTAGTATTATAATTAAATAGATTTTACGAAGCAAATAATGTTTTAACTAGAAAAATATAAAACTATAAAATTATAATAGATAAATAAATTATTATTTCCTTTTTTATTATTTTCTAAATATAAAATAGAGTTGTGAATATTCGGAACTTTATGAATTTTGTGGCATGTTCATATTTCGTAAGAGAAAGGTGGCAAGAATTTATTTGGTGATTGTGAATGGTTAGCGGCGGATAAGGGGGAGTGACAAATAAATGTGTGACATTTAGTGCCATGCCAAAACAAAACGGCATAATGTCTATGTGGGCCATTAAGGACCACTTTTTGGTCAACTCAAACATGCATCGTGGGACTTCTATTTAGATGGATATCTAACCATTTCGTTGATTATGTATATTAAATTTATAAATATTAAAAAAAAAATTGTTTTTTAGGAAACGATTTTGTTACACGGAATAAAATCAAAACAATCTTATAAATATTTTATTTGATGTGTATTGGACCGGAATAAACCGAAATAAAACTGGTATGTTTAAAACACATAAATGTCCTTAGACTTACCCACTAGAGAACATGTATGCATTTACTTTCCTTATTTAATAAGTACTATGAAGTATGAACTAACATAAAATACGACTATAAATCATGACAATTGAAATTAAAATTATTGATGATCATTCATGGCACATGATTACAATAATATAAAATATATTAATGTTGTTATGATTAATATCAAAAGCACTTTATATCGAATGAGTACAAAAGTTAATCATAAGGCGGCCAATAATACCATATAAATAGAATGGCCAGGTTTTAACATGTTACCAATTATACCCAAAAAAAAGCTATATATTTCTATAATAATTTAAAATAAAAGCAATTACACATATTTTAAGATTCAAAAGGCATATAGTATTATTTTTAATTAGATTAAAATATGTGAAAAGCAACCAAAAAGCTATCTAGTGGTCTAAGACATGAGAAAAAGCCAAACAAGGCTGTAACCATCATTCCTTTCACTTTCATTAGCTACTATTTCTCTATCATCTTCCTAAAGGCAGACAAGTATTATCACATAACCGAAGCATTACACAACGTATATCTCCGTACAACTTTTAATGCACAATGTACAAACCCAAAACAAATTTTTTTTACTAGAAATTATGAAGAAGGGAAATCGCTTGAGATCATGAATTCCGATACTAAAGCAGTGTTCGTGAATCGTGATTTGTGTTCATTTTTTTCAAAATCTTTCAAATTTTTTGCTGGAAATAAAAATTCACAACTTTTACGTTCGTGTGTATGTGATCTTAATCATCTTATTTCAAAATCGACTTGCCAGTTTTTAGATAGAAACCTAAATTAACAACATAAACATCTTGTGAACACGAACGCCGATCAAATAGCAGACATAATTTCAGACGAAATCAGAATATGTCAAATTCAAACCCTACCGGATCTGAGTACTACTCGAATCAATTATATTTGGCTACAGAATTTTATTTCTATATATGTGATCGGGTGTATGTGTTCATGGAGTCATTAGAATAAAATCTGTAGACAATAAAGCAAAAATCGAATGCAATTAAGCTGTATTTTACCTGTAACTGCTTGCGCTTTTTGTACTTTCTGTTGCTTCCACCTCTGCAATCGAATATGTTGGAAAGATGATCAAGAGCTCCCATGGCTGCTTTCTCTCTGTTGGTTTAGATTTTTCTACTCTGACAACGGTAATATCTCACTTGATAGCTAGTTTTCTTTTCTCGTTTACTTAGTCAATACGGTTTTGAAAACAGGCGTTAGCTAGCTTCATATATTTATAGTGGAAATGGAGTGTCGTATTGGCCCTTGTGATTTGTTTGTTAGTTATTCAAGGCCTTGAAGTTTTGAGAAGTTGCTATACAGTCCTCTAAGTTAAGTCAAAGTGAGTTGTTAGGGAGGAAGAGTATGGCAAACATAATTGTATATTTGTATCATTTAAGTTTCAAACATGTGAAGAAAGTAAATAGGATAGCAAACATAAGTGAAACTGAAATATAATACGTAATGAGAACAAATAATATTGATTATGATTTATGAACATTTAGCAAATTTTAGGTGTTGTTTGTTTTTTTTAACGCAAAATGTCTGTAATCTGCGGATCATATCTGTAGACTTCTACAGTAGAAGAGATGGACTAAATGTTTGCAGTCTGAAAAAAGAAGACTGTTTGTTTTTTTAATATCTACGGGCTACTAAAATAAACTGAAATCTAAATAAACTGGTTTTTTTAAACTTGAAAGTGATTTTTTAATATTTTTATGACTTTCTTATAAATAATTAACGAATCTAGATCAACTTTTATTTATTATTGTATAAAAAATAAAAATATAAATTGTATGAATTAAAGTATATATTTGATAAAAACCAACAATTTTGGTTATAAAGTTATAACTAAACATTATAATTAGTGATCAAAGAATTTCATACATAAATGGATGAAAATAAGTTTCGATTTTTTCAATTAAATTCATTAAAAACGTACCAAAAATATTTTCTCGAGAAATTGACGATACTGTATTAAATAATGTTTTACAAAATTTGGCAAAAATATAAGAATATATTATGATTTTTTTTTTCATATTTATATAAACAACTTCAACGATTATTATTGTAATAAATCTTTATTTATAAATAATCAAAAATATCAAGTTTATATCGTCGAATGTTTTTTTGTAAGTTTTGTATTTTTTTTTTCCAATTGTTTATCATTAATAAAGTTGGAAAAAATATAATTAAAAAATCTTTATATATATATATATATATATATATATATATATATATATATATGTGTGTGTGTGTGTGTGTGTGTGTGTGTGTTTAGGCTACAAGATGTCTGAAAATGTTAGAAGACTCTGGTCCACATCTGTGCCAAGAAGAGGGCGCACAAACATTTTTAGGTCTGCAGTCTTCAAAAAAATAAACAGTCTACAAAAGCTAATGTCTACACGTGGTCTGCACGGCGCAGACAGAAGAGGTCACGCAGATCTGCAGACAAAAAAACAGACACTACCTTAGTTGCTGTCAATGGGCAGAGTATTTTAATTGATGGCTTAATGCCTTTAAATTTTTAAGGCCTTATTTTTATATGCTTTATTATTTTAGTATAAAAAACTTGATATATGGTATACAGTAGTTGAGTGGAAAAGAGAAAGAAAATAACCAGAAAATGTTAGAATACTAAAGATAAATTTATAACAACGACCTCATTAAAAAAACAAAAAAAGGTCACCCTCTTTTACTAATTATTTCATTCTAAGATTCTATTTTTTTTATATTACCTAGGGCCTCAAATCGTCGTGTTTAATACATTGACTTGTTTTCAGTTTTGATGAGTGTTTACACATGAGTTTTGAATGTTATATGTTAGTTACAATGTATTGAACTATAAAGTTTACTGAATTGTCACATCTTGATTTTATTTTTAATTGAGCTTAATCATTTGTGGGTTAGCCATGAAGAGAGTTGTCAATATTGTTGTTTTAATGCACCATTTTCACAACTATATGATCTTAGAGTGAACTCTTTTTGCTTCGATCTTACATGAGCATTGCCAAACTATTCTTTTCCCCGCGGACATGCCAACCTACTCACATGGAGATGCAACTTTGCTCTTTGATAAATGATTATGTGGGTCGATTGAGGACATGGTAGTTTGTGAAGTTCCTTTACTTAGGGACATCCAATGGTAACTTGCTTCGTTACCTATTAGGTTTGGTGGTTTGTGGTTGTACTCAGCGATAGTGGCTTCCTCCTATGCTTTTCTAGCCTCACAACCTAATTTGTGGTGTTACATGATCATATCTTACGAGATAGCGACATATGTAGTATTGATTCTGCTTATGTTTTTTTGGCTTGTCTTTGTGGTAGGATTCCAAAATTTGACTTTAGAGCTTTCACTAATAAGGAAAACTCTTGTCCTAAATTCGAACATGCATTGGCGAGTACTATTTGTAGTAAAATTGTCCAAGACATGAAAATATAGTTCGACATGACTTTTAGATAGTAATAAGTTTCTGAGTGTCTACGTGCACTTTATGCTCATGATTTTCTCATGGTTATTCCTATTAATGGTCTTGGTGGCTTCTAACCCAGTGGTATCAGGTGGTGTCCTCCCTCATCGAGGTCGAAGGTTCAAGTCTCGTGGTGGTCATAGGTAGAATTAAGTGTTAGTTTAGGAGTGGATTATAATATTTGTATTTTCCAGTTCAATATATATATATATATATATATATATATATATATATATATATATATATATACTTAAGGATAGCACGATACTCCACGGATGATATATATATATATATATATATATATATATATATATATATATATATATATATATCATCCGTGGAGTATCGTGCTATCCTTAAGTACACCTTATGATCACTTTATTTCCAGTTGACGAGATATGTCCTATTTGTCACAAGACATGCTTAGACTCTTTTAGGGATGCTCTTTTGACATATTTAAAAGTGTCGAGGTTTCTTACAATAAAGAAGCACATGTGAATTTTTTGACTGACCCACTGGAAGGAAGATCAATACTTCGATCAACTGATGTTTTAGTTTTTGAATGGATATAAAGTAAACTCACATGTGTAGATCTAATAGAGATTTCCACTCTTATTTGCATGGGTAGTGGGGTTTTTGTTATGCTCATATTGTTTTAAAAGTTGCCTCATGCAAAATGATAAAACATGATAAAATGTGCATGAAAAATCAATATATATTTATATTATTTGCGTTTGGTACATGTGTTTTCAATATGTCAGATATTGTGGAGCTTCTCAATATAGTCTAATGGATCATACATAATAATGTTATGACTGCTGGAACTATAGATGTGGTTTCTAAAAGAATTAAATTCGTCATCTAAAAAAGGTTAACAAAATATCTTGTTGCTTGTTTATCCGTTACGACTATATAAAACTTATAAAATTATGAATTAAAACAGATTTAACTATAATTTAAGACCAAATTGCAAAAATGGTCCCTGTGATTGGCAATTTTATGTGTTTTTGGTCCAAAACAAAATGTTGGTGCATCACTGGTCCAAAATTTGATCTTTCTATTGTTTTTGGTCCCTGTAACTTAAAAAGACGATTATACCCTTATAATTTCTATTTTTCATTTTCTTTAATTGTTGAAATATAAAAATTATTTAACTTATATTTTTTTAACTTACAACAAATAAAAATGACCCACCCACCCTTTTTCTCTTTCGTCTATCTCAACAGAAACATACACACACACTCACTAGAAATGTCACCCTTAATGGATGCCAACCACCATCATTCGCCACCAACCACCACCATCTGCCGCCAACCACCTCCATTTTCATCACCCGTACCCCCATCTCTCAATCATTAAATAAGTAAAAGTTCACCAATGGACACCATACCATCGTTCACCACCACTATTTATCGTAATCCACCCCACCCATATCGTCCTTTCTCGCACTGCCTCGCCGGAAACCACTAAGAAAGCTGAAAACCATCATTAACAACTCCCTTTCTTGCTTAGATCTAAACAAAGTGATCATAAACATACTCAGTACCCAAATTAGTGCAAGGGGTGCTCAAGCCAAAAATTAAACCCCACCCAACTTCGTTCGTCACCACCATTCACTGCCAACCACCTCCATCCCACCACATTTACACACCTCTCTTTCCTTAACCTGATGACCCTCTACCACCACTATTCCTCGAGCTCCACCATCTTCTCACCATTTACCAAGACCTGGGTTTGCATCCCATACCAGTCTAAATCGATCAAATCAACAGTTCTAAAGAACAGATCGGCGACACTAGGTTATCGGACATCTCTGTCGATGATTATCCCCACCAGGTACCATCACATCCCTATAGAGAACCCTAAATAGATCTCGAACCAAAACCCTTATCCAAGGGCGACAACGTTAGGGTTTCAGAAAATGAGAATTGTGGCGGCGGAAGGAGATTTGCAGAAGCTGAAAAATGTGGTGGTGGTGGCAGTATACCCTCATCACTGAAAGATGAAGAACAACGACTGAAAACTCAAAAGCTTCGTCGAGCTCCATCATCTTCTACGACAACATCATATCCCATTTTTCTGACTTTCAATTACATATCTCATTTTTCTGGAAGGGACGCTAGGTCGTTTGGGTAAGTGACGGTGGCGGTGGAAGACTAACAGGTGGTGGTGGTTCAATAACAATGGTGGTCTAGTCTCCAACATAATGAAGAGAGAGAGAGAGAGAGAGAGAGAGAGAGAGAGAGAGAGAGAGAGAGAGAGAGAGAGAGAGAAAGAGAGAGAGAGAGAGAGAGAGAGAGAGAGAGAGAGAGATAGATAGAGAGAGAGAGATTTATTGTCTTTAAGAGTGATGAAATTTTATTTTATATTTATTTTTAATTATATAGTAATAATACAATTAAAAGAAAACAAAAAAGAATCAGTTAAAGGTATTTTTGTCATTTCAGGTAGACAATGGACCAAAACCGCACAAAAATGTCAACCATAAGGACCAAAATCACACAAGGTATCTAAAATTGGACCACTGATGCACCACCAAACTTTTTTGGACCATAATCACAGAATTTTGACAAACACAATGACCATTTTTGCAATTTTGTCATAATTTAATGAAACATATGTATAAAATAATTACAAAACCTAATTTATGATATTTATTTAAGTGTTAATTTTTATTTTCCAATTGTTGACTAAGAAAACTTATGGTCAACCAAGTCACCAGACGTTATGACAAGT